TATTATTATATATAATAGTATTTGAAAGCAAGTGGAAAATATCTCTAATTGAATGTATTGAAAATAATTGTTGTAAATTTCAAAGGTGATAGGAATGTCTAATAATCTGTTGTTTATCTTTATTATATCTTAAGTTGTGATACAGTACCCGTCAGGAAACAAAGAGAAACAAATTCAAGAATCTTTGGTCGCTGTTGTCATAAAATACCTAGCTCTTGGTCTGACTAAGATTGCTGTCCGATCATTGATAAAGATTCCAGATGTCTTGGAGACTGTAAAGACAGAAGTGTTAGGAATAATGAACAAGGAGGTATAGAATTTGGTGTCGTCGGGTAGCAATAGTGTCTTAAGGAAGACCAGTCCAAAGGATTTGATATCGTTCAAGCTGGAAGCTTTAACGGACGAACTGTTAGAGAAAACTCCAGCAACATTCCAAATGTTAAAGCTGCTATGTCCAATTAAACCTCCAACCGGGTCGAAAAGCCAAGAAGAATTGAGTAATCATGAAAAGAAGGTATTAAATTATACCACATTATACCACAACTATTGCGGGTATGATTCTCCACTCGAGAAATGCGAAAATGAGTGCACTAGCCTATCGTTAGGCCTAATTATTCGTCATTATAGGGCTGGAAGATTGGTAAAAAACTGCTAAAGTTAAGAGTTTTCCCCTTGTATCTTTGAGGCTTTCATGCTTGGACAAAGGGGCGGATCCAGGGGAGAGGTGCAGCATGAAGGGCACCCCCCCCCCTTACCCTCCCCCTAAGTGACTTTGTGACCCTAGTTTGTCCTAGTGCCCTTTCTTTTGGACTGTGCATCTTTCTTTCTTTCCTATTTGTTTGTTGTTGTTTTTTTCTGGTTCATCGATTTCCTGTGTAGGTGCCCCTAAATCTCAGTACCCCTCCCTGAAGAAAATCCTGGATCTGCCCTTGGGGCATGATATTAATTGCTGCTAGCAGACTCTTATTTCTTTCCCTTCTATTTCCGTTCACTTGCCGTATTTCACTATCATGTCACAGTATGTTTAGTGCTAAAAGAAAAGAAAAGATTTTTTTCATACGTATATTATAATGAAGTGCTAGGTAAATTAATACCAAAGGAAAATAAACTCTGCTCTAGTAAAAATTACCTTTAGAACTAAAGAATATTTTAGATTGCTATATTTAAGTTTTGTATTCTAGCAGAGTGATTAAAAATCTATTTCTTACTATATACTTAGGGTCTAGAGTTGATGTCAAGACATGGAATTACAGTCCCTCCAGATTCTGTGGTCATTAAGTCAAAATAAATGGGAAAAGATCATGATGAACAAGTACATAAGTGGAAGGATAATATTATCAGATTTCAAGAGATTCAATATTGCTTGGAAGAAATAAACACTCAATTGCTGAAGCTACAATATCTTCCTGGTCTCCCATCTCATCAACACTTATCAAATTTTCTGCAATCATCTTTGTCACACCGTAATGKGGAAAAAGATGGAAATTTAACAACTACAGATGTGTCAAGTTTGAATTTGTTTAGCCACCACAGTCCTGAAACTATAATAGAGAATCTTGTTGAAAGATTGAAAAGCCATGAAACAAAAGAGGATATCATTAAGGAGGCATTTTCTTATGTCGCAGTCTATGGAAGAGAACTTGAAAATGATGAACAGGAGAAAGACAATATTGACATTTTTCAGGTTATTGGAAATGCAAAAACCTCTGTCATTAACAATGCTCCATTAGGATATCAAATCATTGGGGATAATTTGGACTTACATCTAAATGTTAGACACATGACCAAATCTAACAAAAACAAGTCGCTCCATACATTTAACATGGTGGCTATCAAGGACAAGGCATCAGGGAAACACCTTCAGGATGTACATGAACGACCACTTTCTGATGTTGTAATAACCGAGTTTCTACCTTCTGTTAATGAGGTTTTTGRACATTGATTAACTAAATGCAGTCATATTATGTAACATATAGTTGCAGTTCATCAAATATTGTCAGAGCAAATGAAAAAAAATTAAAACAAACCTCTAGCAACTTTACTATATTGTACTTGACATTTGGACAGCCTGTATGAAATAATTAACAATACTATATTACCTGAATAAATATATCATTGACATTATTGTAATATCATTCTCATTATTAGGTTGCTCAACTGAAAAAAGACTTCATCGTGTTGTGGTCTAGAGTTCTGTTGAAATATGTAAAAGCATTCTCCATCTTCAAGTCTGCAGTCATACATCACATTCCCCCAGCGTGGGGAGCCATGTTAAATCCAGGTTGCATTTGTAGGCCAGTTTGTCTGGTTTGGCAACATGGTAGAAGCTGGGATTTAGTCTTAGTAGACTGATAGTCATTATGAAATGTACGTATGAACTGAGAATTACCCTTGCATCCAACATCATAAAATGCATTTGCAGTAGAAGTCTATTTTCAAATCTGATATATTATGATGCAAACCATTTTGAATTTCCTTTAGGTTGCATAGCAAAAAATGAAAGCTTAAATGAAGACATGACTGATATTCTGATAGTTATCCATGATAACTATATTCTAGTGGTAAATAAGGCTGGAGTGAAAACTCCAGCTGACTTTATATTTTTTTGAAGAGATCAACTAACAGAGGAAAAGGCACGGAACATCCAGAAAGCAAGGGCTGATGGTGACAATATGGATGATCGCTTGGATGGAGTCTGGAGCAAGAATTAAGAGCGACTGTCTGTAAAAATCAAACAAAATCAGAAATATGCGGAAAGGCTCAAATTTTCGAATTCGCTCTACTTTTGGATTTTAGTAGTGTATGATGAAGTACGAAACGCTGTATGGTTAGTTTCGAAAAATACTCTTTTGTTTTCGAGAAAAAGGGAAAAATCGTTTTGGAGCTCCACGGACGATTTTCGCTGCCAAAAGATGGCTGAAAATTGCTTACTTTCGCTTGGTCCGTGTATCAAAACTGTTGATCCAAATAGCCTTCTAATACATTCTGCCAAAAGTACAACTCTTATTTGCTCATTAAGAGTAGATTTATAAAAATCGAACAACTCTGGAATATTTAACACGATGAAATGCAAAGGGCACCGA